ATCGCGCAGACAGTCCAGACCGCAAGTGAGCATCGAGCCGCGGGAAGACGGGGCCACCGAGGCTTGGGGGGCAGCGGAGACCAGCCGCAGGTCTCCTCGGGCCTCAGCTCTGCGTGGCTCACTCCAGCCTCCTCACCCGCGTGTGGCCCCCCGAAGCCACCTGGGCTCCCCGTGCCCAGGCACTGATCCCCGAGTACTCTCACTCCCATGCTCGAGGGGCTGCCGGAAGGATCCCCTGAGACAGCACCGAGAGTGCGGCGGGGGCAGGTCCTGGGCTGGGAGAGCAAACCTCACTTGGGGTCCCTGTTTACTGCACCCCCAGATGCGTGATTTGGCCTTGACTTTACTCATCTCTAAAATGGGCACAAGCAGCCCCTTCCCAGTGGGGCGTTAAGAGCCTGGCAGGACAGATCCTATCTCTGCATCCAGGCTCTCGAAGCGCGACTGTCCAGCCCCACCCTCTCCAAGATGTGGGGGGCACCTACTCCCCAGCGCTGTCCCGGGACCAACTAAGGGGCACCTCAAATCCACTCGCTCCTGGACCCCAGCGCCTTCAAACCTGGACTCAGCTTCTGTCTTTTCCTCATGTCCAGGGCCCATCATGTCCGGCCACCACTGCCTGTCCCTCCACGCACGGATCCTGCCTGGGCCCCCTCACTCTGCCCCCCAACCTCATGACCCCCAGGGTCCTGCTCAACAAGCATCAGACCACGTCCTTCTGTTCTGGGACCTCCAGAACCCCGGACACCCCCTTGCCAACACCCCGGACTCACTCCCCGCCTGCCCCCTCCGGCCTCCTTGCTGGTCTCCAAACATCTTGAACCCTGGCACCAGCCCTTGGCACAGGCCCCTGGCACCGGCCCCTGGCAGCAGCTCTGCCTCCGGTCGGGAGGATGGTTCAGCCTCTCCCGGGCGACGGGCTGAGAATTCCACTCAGAGTCAACGTCCTCTCCTTTCTTCGGGGGCTCTGTTTAAATGTCCCTTCTCAGGAGAGAATTTTCCAGACTCTTCCAGCACGCCACCCATCTCCCTGCCATTGGCGTCTCCTTTCTGGTACTTAGGTGGCATACTTTCTTTCTTTCTTTCTTTCTTTCTTTCTTTCTTTCCTTTCTTTCCTTTCTTTCTTTCTTTCTTTCTTTCTTTCTTTCTTTCTTTCCTTTTTGGGTCACACCTGGCGATGTACAGGGGCTACTCTTGGCTCTGCACTCAGGAATGACTCCAGGTGATGCTCAGGGGACCATATGGGATTATCAGGGATCAAACCCAGGTTTGCTATGTGCAAGGCAAATGCTCTACCCATGGCTTTTAGCTTAAAAGGTTCCATCCCCCAAACCCCATACCCCGTACAGAGGCTTTACTCCTGGCAGGGTTCACAGGACCCTAGGGTCTGCTGGGATCGAATCCTGGTTCGATCGAGCTAGGTGCAAGGCAAATGCCCCGCCTGCGGTGCTATCGCTCCGGCCCCTCTGTCTTTATTCTTTTGGATCACACCCGGCAATGCTCAGGGATTGATTACTCCTGGCTCTGCACTCAGGAATTACTCCTGGCGGTGCTTGGAGGACCATATGGGATGCTGGGAATCGAACCCGGGTCGTCCGTGTGTGAGGCAAACGCCCTACCCACTGTGCTATCTCTCCAGCCCTTTTTCTTTCTCTTTCTCTCTCTCTTTCTTTCTTTCTTTCTTTCTTTCTTTTTTTCTTTCTTTCTTCTGCCATGCGGGGGATCAAACCCAGGGTCTCACTCACGACAGGCTTGAGCGTCAGTAAGCCTGTCCCCACTCTCATGGGCACTGCTTTGCTCCCCTCCCCAAGGCCCAGGGAGCTCGCCCGCTTCTCTCTGCAGAGTCCTGACCCCTGCACAGCGTGGAACACAGTGGGGAGGGCCACTGGCACCCTGGGCTCCAGGTATGGGAGGGGGGTCCCCAGGGTTCATAAGGTTGTGGCCATTCCCGGGCCCAACTCTGACTGCAACAGCCCTGCCCCCACTTCGTGTCCAGGCCAGATGAGCCTGAGTGAGGTCATTAAAACCTGTATTATCAGGGCTGAAGCGATAGCACAGCGGGGAGGGCGTTTGCCTTGCATGTGGCCGATCCAGGTTCAATCCCCAGCATCCCACAGGGTCCCCCGAACACCGCCAGGAGTAATTCCTGAGTGCAGAGCCAGGAGGAAGCCCTGAGCACCACCCAGTGCTCAAAGCTGCAGGCCTCCCTCTCCCGCGTGCCCAAAGGAAAAAAAAAAAAAGTCAAACAAAAAATACCCACTACGTTATCTGGAAGGGGGAGGGAGCGAAAGGGGACTTGCTCTATTAGGGGGCCCTGGGCCCTCTTCACAGCAGTGCCGGGAAGTCTGTGGGTCTCTTCCAGGAATGCTTGGCTCGGCTCTGTGGGCAGGAAGGCCCAGTGCTCGGAGCTGGCAGTGTGGGGATTCTGCAGGGGGTTCTCAGGGGGCCCCCCCAGGCGCCAACTCCAGGCCCCGACGGGCTCTAGTTTATGTCTTCATTC